GAATTCCCACCCAGAGATCTTTTAATGTCCATGTACTATAGTGACAAGAATGTTATTCCCATTGTCTGGTATCTGAAAGGTATGCTAAAAGATGGAATATGCTTTCTAAACTGATTTGTCCTGTAATAATAAAATTCTATTAATGAGAAATGCTTTACTCATTTGTGCTTTGTAGGTTTTAGCTGTAACATGTGAAATAGTTTATTAATTTCAACAAAATTGCTAACTACCCAGTAATGTAAAGCATAGTGATTATTTCTAGAAATAAAATGATCTATGCATTTTTTGCAAAAATATTAACATAACTGTGCTAATATTTTATTATAATGAAAAATTAGCCTATGAAATAAAACAGTTTCATCATCTAATCAAATTACTTTCCTAAGTTAAAATGTGATAAAGTAAGGATAAATGATTGGCTGACAGTCTTTAAAGCATTAGATATGAGATGAGCATCTTTTTCTTCCTACCATATGCATATAATTCAACAAATTATCTGTGAATGAAAGTTCTAGTCCCATAGCTCCAAACATCCATACAGCTTCTCTTTTGGAATAGCTCATTGATATTTTGTACTCAACATGTCCAAAACTAAACACATTATGTTTGCTTCAAAACCAGCCCTTTCTTCTCCTTTTCCTGTTTCCATGAAGTCAGTCAATGAGTCAGTTGAGCAATAAAATAACCACTTATTGAGTAGTACTATGTGCCAGACATTCTTTTAGGACTAAGAATGCAGTCACTGAGAAAGAACAGACATGGCACCTTTTCTCAGGGAGCTTACAGGCTAGCAATGAAGTCAGACATTAAAAAATGTAATTAAGAACACATTGGGTACAATAGGAACTAACCATACTAACAAGGGGCTGGCTCCAGCCTAGGCTAGGGTTCAAGGTAGGCTTCCTGGGTGAAGTGATATGCTAATACTTGGAGACACAAAGGTGAGGCCGTCTTAGCTAGAGAAGGGTGGAGGTGATTGAGAGTGTACCATGGAACAGACAACAGAAGTTCCTGAGGTGGAGAAAGAGGCTGTGATGTGGTCGGGAATGAGAGAAGCCTAGGATTTCTGGAGCAGAAAAGAGACTGCAGAAAAACATATGAAATGCAATGTGTTCGTTATCCTTTTAGACTCGAAACCTGGACATTGTTGTCTGAATTTTCACCTCCTTTCATTTCTCATATTCCAACTTTAATCATAACCTTTACATATAGCCATTCATTTTCATTTCCCCAACTACCACTCTAGCCTAAGTCCTCATTCCTCGCCACCTAGCTGCTACTCTCTCTGCTTAGTCTTTCCCTACTCCAATCCATTCTAACTACCACCAGATTAATTTTCCTAGAAAATATATTTCATCATGTCACTTCTCTATGTACCACCCCCCAAACCTCCACTGGCTTTCCACCAGGTTAATGCTAAACTTTTTACCCTGGTGTTCAAGAACCTCCACACTGTGGCCATGCTATACTTACCCATTTTATCTTCTGGGTTTTCTCTATGGGAAACTGTTTATTTCAACAAAGTGTTGTCTTTCTTATTAGTACAAGAAATATTTATTGGACACTGTGCCAAGTATAGTTCTAGATCCCAGGGTTACAGAGTGGTAGAAGATAGATAATATCCCTGCTCTCATGGAACATAAAATCTAATAGGAGAAGACAACGAATGAATGAGAGAATGAGAAAAAGTTCATAGGTGAAATGGTAGGTGCCATGCAGAGCATTGGAGTGATGTCCTTGAGATTCACTGGGTAGCTATACTAGATTAGAAAGTCAGTAAAGTCCTCTTACAGGAGGTGACATTTAAACTGAAGTGTGAATGACAATCAGTCTATGATGGGACCAATAAGGAAGAGCATTTCAGCATTTCAGACAGTAGATTGTGGAGACAAGAGTGGAAGCAGGCAGATCCGTAGTCTATAACAGTAGTCCAGGTAAAAGACGATGGTGGTTAGGACAGAGTTGTGGTATTAGAAAGTATGTGCATTTGGAATACATTTGTTGTGCAAATAAAGTCTATGGGAGTGGATGTGAAAGAAAGGGAAGAAAGTAATCAAGGAGAAAGTTTCAAGTTTTGCCTTGTGTTGGATGAAGTGATTAAATTTCCAGGCAGAGCAGGTTACTGTTGTTGGTACCTTTTCTGATGTATCCCTTCCAGCTTTTTCTAAAGAATGTCCACTATCATCTGCAGACTATTCTGCTCCTTTCGCAAAACTGAGTCCAGTGGGTCAGTGGTCAGTGGTCAGTGGCCTTAATTATTATATCAACAGAGATTGAGAAGTTCTTACTGATCATACCTCTGGGAGGAGATGTGAACCTTAAGCCATGCTAAGACACAGCAGTCCGCTTAGCAGAATCCCTCATGGAAGTCCAGGTGGCCTTCTGTCTCCTCTGTGCAGGTGCCGTTTGGGTAGCTGGAGTTTCTCTGTGCCTCCTGGAACTCTGATACCTGGAGTGAAGAAGAGGGAGCCACAAACTATATATCAACAAGTTGAGACCATCTGCTTGATTTAGACTTGCCAGCCCTGTCCTCTGGTCCTTTCGAATATGTCATTTGTCTTTCTGATTTTGAGTCTTTGTGCTATTCCCACCAACTGGTATATACTTTCTACATTTCATCACCTGTGCTTGTCTTTCAAAGTTCAGGTCCTGCTTCTTTGACACTTACTTTCTTACCACTCTAGCCTAAATGGATCTACCCATTCATTGAATTACTGTGGTGTTTACCATGGAAGATACTCATTTTAGCACTTATCTTGCCCGTTGTACGTACACTTGTTAGATGTAAGGATATAAGTTCCAGTTTGTAGACACTGAAGGGACAGGACTACATCTCATTCTTCTACTGAACCACCCACTAATGTGTTATATTTATAAATATTTATAAATGACAATGGCGAATATTGGTTACCATTGTAGATGTACACTTAAATCTTCATATTTACATTTTTAAATCAAGTAGATTAAGGATAATATATTGGGCAAGTAAAATTAAATGATGTTGAAATATATTCCAGTTATAGAAATTGTTTGCACCCTTATATCTGACTTGTGACAGTACCCTAGTTTTTTTTTCATTATGCCACCAAGCCATTCCACTGAGTTCCTAGGTCATAGTAAGTGTGTATCTGTATTTGTTGAGTGAATGAAATGCATGATGCATAAGCATTGGCTGTATGGGCAGCTGCATAGGGTTGTGAAGGTTATGTACTACACAACTCCAGGTAGCGCCATTTGTAGAGGCCAAGATGTGTACAACCTACC